GTGGATGGACAAAAAGAAGAAGTTGATGGCTGTGAGGAGATAGTTGTGGATGAGGAAGAGGATGATGTAGAGGAGGATGATGGAAGCTGATACTGTAGGCTCCTAAATATACATATATAGGATTTAAATCCAACGATTGATAAATATATTAAATTAAAAATACTTCAATTGCGTATATTTTAGGGCTGGGACGATATATCGAGATATCGATAATATCGATTCAATGTGAGGATAATACGCATATCGATACGTATGAAGAAATATCGACATATTGCCCCAAAAATTCTGACTAATGTTTTTCTTTGTTAACTTAACATTTTGGGTTTAATATGTAAAATAAATATGCTTAATATAAATATGAATATGAAATTCATAATAATTCAGACCAAAATAATTAAGTTTTACAACAGATACACAACTTCCTTGAATAAATTATTCTTATTTGTGAAGAGATGTCTTGTTCATTTCAATATAAAAAAAGAATTTATAACCAATTAAACATATCGTGATACATATCGTATCGTGGCTCAAATATCGGGATACGTATCGATATGAAAAAGATGTATCGTCCCAGCCCTAGTATATTTCATATATTTTATATTTTTTTCAGACTTCTACTTTCTTGACGTTTGGGCTGTTATACTCATAAAAAGCTCCAGATGGTGCCTTTATGGTTAAGGACACTTCTGCCGATGTTGCAGTGTACAGATCTTGGACCTATGTGATTGTCTAATTTTTATATACAAATATGTCTTCATATTATTATAAATTATGAGTCTTCTTATTTCAATGTACATCGTAAAGTTTAATTATTTTTATCCATAATTGATAATGTTCGAATTCCCCAGACTCTCAGTAAAGCATAATTCGATGCATATTCGAATAGTATGATTTTCCTCCACTCGCGTAACTTAATGTCCTTAAACCACCTGAGCCCTCCATCTTATACATATTAATACATAACACAGAAAGAAAAGGTTATGTTGCACTTTGCCACCACTGTGACTTTATTAATTATCCCAAATTTAGATTACATATAATTACGTAGATCACATTAAATGGTTATGTAATAATAACCTTATTAAAAATTGATATACAATTATAAATATTTGATTATCTACCCAATTAATATTTTAAATCAATATTAATCAATAATTCCCATTAATTATCTAATTAATGATGTGATTACATAATTTCCAAAACATCTATTCCTTGTGGTCTGAAACCGCAATATAGAAACAGATATGGTTTATCCATAATAAAAGGAAGGCGGAGGGGTGGAGGTGGATTAAAATCGCTTAAAAATTTTCCGTGTATAAAATCGCCGGCGTCCTGTAAGAAAGTGAGAACCCACGCTACATCTAAAAAGACGCACCCACAGTTTTCCCGCGAAACGATTCCATTGGTTCTGCCTTGCGACACTGCCTTAACTGACCATATAAGAAGATGCCGGCGTAAATTGCAAGCGCGATAACTCCAGCAAATGTGACCAAATAAATTATCAATATACATAAAGTATTTTAAGAAACCTTAAAATTCTTTTATCCATAATTGATAATGTTCGAATTCCCCAGACTCTCAGTAAAGCATAATTCGATGCATATTCGAATAGTATGATTTTCCTCCACTCGCGTAACTTAATGTCCTTAAACCACCTGAGCCCTCCATCTTATACATATTAATACATAACACAGAAAGAAAAGGTTATGTTGCACTTTGCCACCACTGTGACTTTATTAATTATCCCAAATTTAGATTACATATAATTACGTAGATCACATTAAATGGTTATGTAATAATAACCTTATTAAAAATTGATATACAATTATAAATATTTGATTATCTACCCAATTAATATTTTAAATCAATATTAATCAATAATTCCCATTAATTATCTAATTAATGATGTGATTACATAATTTCCAAAACATCTATTCCTTGTGGTCTGAAACCGCCATGTACTTGATTAAATCCCATTAATCAAGTTCAGACCCCAAGGAGAGAAGAAAAACAGCACCATAAAAAAAAAATGAAAGTGGCAAAGTGCAGATACACCCAATGAGACCAACCTTTGCAGAGAAAGACATATGCTCTGCAAACCTTAGCCTTATCTCAACAAATGCAACTACTATTCATGGTAGGTGAGGATACACATATGCCCCACCCAAAACATACATGCTATGTATACTTCACCAGTTTAACATAAAATGTCATCTTAACTTTATAGGTAGAACATGTATGGTAGGAATAAACATATGTCCCACCTTGATGCAATGTTATCAGGAAATATACATATGTTCCTGATGAATTCGATTTTGTATTATTCACACAAATGAAATCAAAATATAGTAACCCTAACTATAGGTAAAATAAGTAGGAATAAACATATGTCCCACCTAGTTTCAACGTTATCAGGAAATATACATATGTTCCTGAGCTCGCACTTTTAGAGTCCACATACCAATCACCAATGTCACGGGCACTATTAAGTTCTCCATTCGCTTGCTCACTCGATAGAGCCTGTCCAACTAGACATTAACAAATAGCCTATGGACATTGTTCTTAGGAAGGGTTAATTGGCCTAATATAACTTTTGAATGCATCCGATTTCCATCGACCTAAGAGTCTTATTTTGCTGTCGCTCATGCCAATATCCGCGCAATGAGATGCCATGCCTATCCGGAAAGAATGACTTGTTATTCTACTCATGTCCATGTTTGCAAATGAGAGACAGTTTTTAAGTATTGTGGAAAATTTACACCTAGTAACTGGAATATTTGGCACATAGCAAAAGAGTGGCCCATTTTGTATCCCTCTTAAACTTAAGTAACTTTTGAGGCATTGAACTGGACAATGGTTTTTGCTACTTGCTGAATGTATTGTAAGAAAAAATGGTTTACCCATGTGATGTTTATACGTAATAAATTTGATAATAATTTTGTCTTGTTCCATACAAATCTGATTGATGTGAAGTAAATTCTTATTGATTACTTTCTGGTAAGATGTTATTTCTCCAACCCTTAAAAACCCGTAGAATGCCAACAAAAACATTGCTTTGAACATGGCCGATTCAAATGCATTAGAAACTGTAAATGGTAAAACGTCGCATATTTGATGTAAAATATTTTTGGTAATAGGTATCCTAACATCTTGTGAAGGTTTCAGTTTGCGGGTTGATAACAGTAATTTTTGTATTAAAAAGGATGAGCATGGATCCCCAAAATTGTTAATCTTATGAATGTAACTAATAGCTGAGAGGTAAGATGCAATGGTCGATGCAGCATAGTCCCTCGAAAAGAGGTATGCAACATAATATACTAATATATGTTGTTTAACTGGAAGTTCAACCAAAAACCCATATTTCTTTGCAAAGTTTTGAAAAACTGTCCATGCATGGGAGTACGAAGCTGTTGAGGAACTTGTGAGACTGTAATCCAGGAGTCTCTGGATGTCACTTGTTAATTCGGAAATTTTGGAAGTGGAGGCACGTTGACTGGGTTTCTGTCTGCCCATGGCGCCAGTTGTAAGAACTGATTTACCTTAGAACGAGAAAGACAATCACATAGTAAATTTTCTTTTGAAGTCAAATGCTTTGCTCTGAAATAAATGTTATATTGTAAGCATGTCAATACTAGTTTTCGCAAAAGAAACATGATATGTTTATCTTTAGACGTTTGCTTATTAATGACATGAACCAATGCTTGATTGTCAGTGTTAAACAAAATGCACTTATTTGTCATAAATTTAGACCAGACTTGTACTGCCAGGACAATGGGATACAATTCTAAGACTGCTATGTTTTGGTACTGCCAACTAGTATTCCATTCTCCTTTAAACCACTGACTACCAAAAACTGCAGCATATCCAATGACACCTGAGGCATCAGTATATAACTTTAATTCACTTGAACTTATCCATTTATCAGGGAGAAACATTGAAGAACCATTGAAATGGCAAAGAAAATCCAACCAAACATTCAAATCCTCCTTAACTTCCTTTGTCATCCTAATTCTGTAAAAGTGCTTTTTGATTCCAATGGTCAAATCGATTAGTCTTCTTAAAAAGGCTCTGCCTGGCAATACTACATTACAAGCAAAATTCAGTAAACCTATAATTGACTGCAGTTCTTTTAAAGTTAACTTAGTTTGTTCCAAGGCAAATTGAATTTTCTTGACACACTTTAAAATTTTGTCTTTTGGAAGTCTACATTCCATTTTAATTGAATCCAATTCATAACCCAGATAGGTTATCACCTGTTTGGGACCACACGTTTTTTCAAGTGAAATAGGTACCCCAATTTCTGTAAACATAGCCAAAAAAGTTTTGAGCTTGTAAACACATTGTGTCGGTGATTTGTCTACAATAATAAAGTCATCCAACACATGTGAAATGCAAGATATACCCAATTTATTTTGTGCAATCCATTGCAAAGCTGTGGAGAATCGTTCGAATATTTTACAAGATGAACTTAGACCAAACTGCAGACAGGTATCAAAATAGTATTTGCTTTCCCATTTAAACCCGACAAACTTAAACTGTGTGTGGTGTAGATTAATTATTCTAAATGCTGACTTAATGTCTGTTTTACAACAGAATGCACCTTCCCCACATTGTTTAATAAAATGAATCGCATCTAAAATTGATGAGTATTGAACAAATGACTCATCTGGTGGTATGCCATCATTGACAGATTGGTTTTCTGGGTATGATAAGTGATGAATCATTCTATATTCACCCGGCTCTTTCTTTTCAACTAAACCTAATGGTGAACATTGTAAATTAGGGATTGGCTTACTTTCAAAAGGGCCCTGGATTCTACCAGCCAAAATTTCTTTTTGTATTTTTTGATCAATAATTTCAGGTTTTGCAAGAGCAGAATTCAAATTCTTAGACTCTATTCCCGGACATTCTCCTTCGAATCCTAAACAGAACCCATTCGAAAAACCATCAATTAAATAGTTAATTTCATCTTTATCATAACCAGATAACCAGTGAGCAAGTCTATTTACTTTGATTGGAGTTGGGCCCTTGCTTGGCAGTAGAGTTTGTTTTTGTTTGGGTAGACTGTTTACTTGTGTTGCCTGTTTGGTTTTGATATTTTTGCATGACACGAAAGGGGTGCTTAGTTGGTTTTGTACAGTGAATAAATGGGTGAACCCCTGCACAGTTATAGCATCTATGCTGAAAACGACAGGACATTCCTGCCTGACAGTGTTTACCTGAATGATATTGGAAGCAGGCACCCTTGGGAATTGATCTATACTGTAGGTCTTTACTACCTTTGCTTGGTTTCATTGTCTGGGTTGTTGTCAGTCTGGCATTGACATACAACTCCATGTGGACATCCCCCCAGGCAACTTGTCCCTGAGCCACGAGCATTCTAAAGTCTGTATCATACCCTTTCCAATTGCCCTTTGCATCTGCTATCTCCCTGACTGCTTCTAAATGCTTAGCTAGTTTTGCCTGTTGATCAGTGTATTTCATGCAATAAATTGCAGAAAATCTGTTCCATGCAGTAAGCCAGTCATGCATGGAGGAGACAGATGCGTCATTTGATGAATCATTCTCCACCTGGTGGATTGTCAACTTACCAGGACTGTCGCCATCCTCAACTTGTAAAGAAAACTTACCTTTCTTCTGCTTATCTTTTGAAAGAAGTTTTATGAAGTCAACATACTGGTTTGACCATATTTTGGACTTGAGTTGGTCCGACACCCTAGCATCTATTGGGACTGCTGTACTAACAAAACCACTGGGACTCTTACCTGCTATTTTTTCAGTATGGTTAATTACCAAGGCTTCAACAGATTGTTGAATAGCTTGGTCATTGGATGTACTTGGGGCAGTCGATTCTGACCCACAAATAACAGAATTAGTTAAGCCTTGATCATTATTGACAGAAACCCCCGAAGTATTATTACTAATACTCCCCTGACTAGTGGCTGTGGTGCTGCTGGTCACATTACTTATTAGCGTTGTCAACTCCTCTCTGATTGTAGCAGTGACCCGCTCGGTTACTTGTCTGGTAATGGTTTCCAGGACATCAGGGGATAGGGGCGTAGATGTCGCGACCGCTTCCATATTTGTTGATACCCGTCGTCTCTTGCTTTGTTGAGAGGCAGGAGTTGGCACTCTCCGAGATTTGCTAGATATTCTCTTTGGTGGCATGATTATATTTGTTGAATAGGTAACTGAAAGTTCAATAAACTGCATTTGGTTAGTGTACATATTCATAGAAATTGTTCTCTTCTATTGATCACTATAAATAGAATGCATAGTATATCAACATCCGGTCGCTATAAACAGAAAAATGGGATATTATCAACCGTTGAAATTCCGGAATACTGATCTCTAACTCACTACTGTACACTGAATTGATTACGAGCCTCCGATGGCATAACAGAGAGATTCACAGAAACAAGCCAGTAATTTATTTGATTACTGATTGGGTGCAGTAAAATGATCCTCAGCGAACCATAAGCGAGGATTTTTTTTTTTTTTATTTTAATTTTATCCTTTTTTTTTTTTTTTTTTTTTTTTTTAAATTAATTTATTTACTTATTATATTCTGAATATTCGGTAAAATGCGTTAACGAAAATAGAGTAGGTTAATCCTCGGGGAGGCATACAAAATAAATGACATCTCAGGAAACGCACAAGTAAATTGTGTTAATTCCAGTGCAATGAGATGAGCCTCAGGGAGGCATACAAAAATAAAACCGTCTCCGGAAACGCACAAGTAAATTGTGTTAATTCCAGTGCAATGAGATGAGCCTCGGGGAGGCATCCAAAAATAACACCATCTCAGGAAACACACAAGTAAATTGTGTTAATTCCAGTGCAATGAGATGAGCCTCGGGGAGGCATACAAAAATAAAACCATCTCAGGAAACACTCAAGTAAATTGTGTCAATTCCAGTGCAATGAGATGAGCCTCGGGGAGGCATACAAAAATAAAACCATCTCAGGAAACACACAAGTAAATTGTGTTAAATCCATTGCAACGAGATGAGCCTCAGGGAGGCATACATAACTAAAACCATCTCAGGAAACACACAAGTAAATTGTGTTAATTCCAGTGCAATGAGATGAGCCTCAGGGAGGCATACATAAATAAAACCATGTCAGGAAACACACAAGTAAATTGTGTTAATTCCGGTGCAATGAGGTGAGCCTGCCGGAGGCGTGAAAGATAACTAAATAAATAAATAATTAAAATTCTCTCAGGCAAATACAAGTAAATTATTGTGATTCTAGTTAAATAGCATTTGCCTAAATGAGGAAAGAATTAAAAACACACAAATTGTATTAATTCAACTCCGATGATTCAGTTCAATGACATGAGTGATAGGGAGGCTAAATAAATAATTAAATTCTCATGAACCATTTAATAAATTGTGTCACTCCCGTCAATTAAGCCCTAAAGCCGAAATAAAAGAAATAGCCGTGTGTTTAGGGACTGTTTTTATTATCATTATTTTTTAATCCATATCATTTCATATTAATTTATACATATAACGTTTTTAGATCTATAATATGTATATATATATATATATTTTACGAATAAATCTTATTTTCTTTTCCTTATTACACCTTTTTTTTTTTTTTTTTTAAGATTTTAACTGTTTGTTAACCGAATGAAATCTTAATCGTCAGCACATTCATCGCATTCTAGATAAAATAAGACCACGCAAACTCCGATAGAGATGGACATTACCCTGTTTATTCAGATGGACGCCGTCTGGAAGGAATTTATGGCTACACGCCTTGCAATTCGGCGATGGGAAAAGGTCATTATGCTCCCAAAAAGAAGCGAATTTGATGTCTTGAAGAGAAGTCTTAAGCAGAGCATTCACTTCGTCTACAATATCATTGTAATGAAAACTTTGGTTGAAACGTGGCAATAGTTTGCACACATGAATTTGGGAAACTCCATATCTACGATGGAGTACCGAGACAATAGATTCTAAGTTCCCAGCTAATTCTTCAGGAGAACTGACGCGTCGAACGTCATTACCCCCAACCATCATGATTATTTTATCGGGTTTAACCCGTTCAATGAAATGGGCATCCTCACGGAGAATGCCAGATACAGTGCGACCTCCAACACCTCTAAAAATTATTTGGTGTGTGGCTTGGAGGCCAAGATCTTCGTTATATCTATCATCCGCTTCACTTAGAAGAAATTGATGGAAGCGGCGAACAATAGAATGACCCAATATGAGTACTTTGTTAGAATCCATGAATGAATATAACGACAAAATGATCTTACCGCTTAAAATCGCTTAAAAATTTTCCGTGTATAAAATCGCCGGCGTCCTGTAAGAAAGTGAGAACCCACGCTACATCTAAAAAGACGCACCCACAGTTTTCCCGCGAAACGATTCCATTGGTTCTGCCTTGCGACACTGCCTTAACTGACCATATAAGAAGATGCCGGCGTAAATTGCAAGCGCGATAACTCCAGCAAATGTGACCAAATAAATTATCAATATACATAAAGTATTTTAAGAAACCTTAAAATTCTTTTAATTTATTACTATTTGAATTTTGAGCGTTGTGATAACTCTAATACATTTCAACTGAATTATTTGTCGTTTGATTTATATTGATGAAAAAAAAAATCAAAAAAGAAAAAGAAAAAACAAAACAAAACAAACAAAAAACCCAAACCAAAACAAAACAAAACAAACAAAAAGTTAAAAAAAAAAAAAAAAAAAAGAACAAACAGCCAAAAAAATGATTGAAACTGTTTGGAAATTTTGATCAAGATCTCCCTGCATTTTAGAAATAGAAAAGAAAAAATTTAAAATTGCTATCCTTAATTGAAATAGAGGACAATTAAACATAAGGGGGAGGGGGATCAAACGAATGTTTACTGAGCATGACATTGCATGTGTACACACTTTTTCAAGAAGGGTCTTTTCTTCTGTTGAATGAACGCACCACTTTTTTCTTTTCGGTAAAAACTTTGGTGGGGTTCCTTTCGTTTTTTTATTTCCTTCAATATGCTCACCTTACCCCCTCTAGAAACTTTTTTTCTACAGTATGCAAAATTAAGATACATTACTATTGCTGTAAATTTTTAGTTATTATTGTCACGAACGTATCGCCGTAGAAAATTGGAGCTTTTGACCGATATTAAAATAGATCAAGAGATTTCATTGGCTGCAATTGTTTATGAATAACCCGGAAGATGGGGAAAAAAAGTAGATAGGTTGGAAAAGGAGCCCATGTGAACATGAAGCATTTGGAATCGTTTTTAAAGTAACAAGAATGCAAAAATGTTCCTGAGAGTGGGTGTTTGCTCGGTATAGGTAAACTTTGCATACTTTTGCGCATAAATTTCCGCATGAAATTATTGAAAAAATAAGTTTTTTTGATTATAACCACATTACTTACCACTCAGTCATCTTCATGCACCTTGTTTATATACTGACGTGATTCGAAAAGCACGGAATTTAACTCTCATTTTGTTAGTAAACAATGTATACGATTTGGTTGATTGACCACCAATTGTGAGTTTAAGTACCAGATGGTGGTGTGTGCCCAACCTGATATATGGATTTAAAATGAGAAAAGCAGCTGTCCACACTTGAATGTCCTTAATTACCCTTGCTTTAGTTTTTGGGACCAAGGTGAAGTTACCCTCTTTCATAGAAAAATATTTTGTCTCGTCATTTGGGTCAACCCCATGTGAATTTTCGACCAACAGGCCCAAATTGATGTAGTCGCCATTTACAATTTAAAGTTTTAATCTATTTGGCACTCTGTAGCCTAAATCGTTATCATAATTTGGTGTTAATGCAAAGTAACTATCATTTATAATGTCAGGTTCTGTACCTGCACTCTGTTCCTGTGCGATATTGGTTGCTTGCAGTGGCTCTGTAGGCATGGGGGTCTGCTGGATCTGGTCTCATTCTGCTTGCTACTCAGAATATCTGCCAACGCTTGCGACACTTGTTGCAGCTGTTCGTTAGATAATGACAGTGGCAAGTGGCCCGTGGTCTCGCTAGCTTCTGGTTGACCTTGAGCGGGAGGAGCGCCATCATTCCGCTTGGTACGCCTGCTTGGCAAGGGCGTTGGGTCACGCTTCATTTTTGGCATTATCGTTAGGTGCTCGTTATGCATAGGCGTCGGAACCGGGGGGGGGGGGGGGCTAGGGGGCTTAGCCCCCCCCCCCACTTTTTTTTCAAAGATAGGCATAATATAAGCATTGAAAATTGGGGCTTACCTTTTTTCGTTGGTTTAGCCCCCCCCCTCCCACTTTCAATTAGCCACCCCACTTTCAATTTGCTTCAGACGCCTTTGTTATGAAATACACAAATGTAAATGTTAAAATTTGACTGACCAAAGAAGAAAACAGTTTGTATTTAGGAGACAATTAATGGAATTTATACTTATATATATGACCATGTGTGCCTAGGCGAACGGAAAATATTGAATCCAATCAAAATCAGAGAATTATTCAAACCATCGACCGTGTTCAAAAAGATAAGTAGCGAGCGAACACAATCTACGACGCTCCACAAGCTTAAGTACGGAAGCCGGTTGGTGCCAGGTAGAAAAAATATTTTATCTGGCGGCCGCCAGATAACTTTCTGGCGGCCGCCAAATAATTATCTGGCGGCCGCCACATAAATAACTGGCGGCCGCCAGAAACTTATCTGGCATAATTTCTGGCGGCCGCCAGATAATAATATGGCGGCCGCCAGATAATTTCTGGCGGCCGCCAAATAACTTTCTGGCGGCCGCCAAATAATTATCTGGCGGCCGCCACATAAATAACTGGCGGCCGCCAGAAACTTATCTGGCGGCCGCCAAATAATTTTCTGGCGGCCGCCAGATAAAAAGATCTGGTGGCCGCCAGATAACTTATCTGGCGGCCGCCAGAAAGTTATTTGGCGGCCGCCAGAAATTATCTGGCGGCCGCCATATTATTATCTGGCGGCCGCCAGAAATTATGTGGCGGCCGCCAAATATTTATCTGGCGGCCGCCAGAAATTATGTGGCGGCCGCCAGATAACTTTCTGGCGGCCGCCAGATAAGTTATCTGGCGGCCGCCAAATATTTATCTGGCGGCCGCCAGATAATTATTTGGCGGCCGCCAGATAATTTCTGGCGGCCGCCAAATAACTTTCTGGCGGCCGCCAGATAAGTTTCTGGCGGCCGCCAGTTATTTATCTGGCGGCCGCCAGATAATTATTTG